GTGATTCTGGGAACACTCTAATAATTTGTATTGAAAACCTTTTTGTACACATTTTAATGAAAATCAGGTTGTTTTGAAAAATTTAAATTTGGTTGTATTTTTCGGATGTTACACCACATATAATATAACTAACCATAGCAACCATATACAAACAGTCATACAAGTCTAACATATCAATATAGCATAACATATCCTATTTACCAGGATGCCAATCCAACAGATCACTATATCATAGCAAGAATACAATAACCAGGATAGCAATACAAAGGGTGGACCTTAGTGCCTTCGACCCGAGAGTACGGTGAGGATAACTCAGCTCACACAGGCGAACTGCGCAGAAAATCTCCGACCACTGGCCCACTAAAATCCCGAACTATCACAACAAATAAACATCGAATTAATAATTGGATTACCATTCCTGAATGATAACCTAAACTTAAGGTAAATGGCCCCTTTACAGTATCCAGAATTGGGCCAAGACCCAGGCGTAATTCTTGATCTAAAAATTCCAAAGTTATACAAGGCCTATCACTGGCCCAATTTTCCAAATTGGACCCAAACTCCTTATTGGGCCTTATCCTCAGGTCCAACTCTTCACTTGGCCATAAACACTTATACTCAGGTAGACCAAGAAATTTCCATGCTTTAAAGACCAAAAGATGGCACAAAACTCGAAGCCCAAATTCTCAAATCCAACAGAAGGTGTACGTGGGGCATACTCCTTCAGTACGCAGGGCGTACTCCGAACCTCGCATTGACCAACATTGGGGTGGCTCACCGAGTACACTGGGCATACTCCTCCTTACGTGGGGCATACACTCGCGTATCCAAAAGTCCTATTTTGTGCTTAATGTCTTAAGCACTTAAGCCCAAGCTTCAGACCCATGGTCCAAATGTGCCCTAGAGTCATAAAGTCTCCAACTTAATGACTTTACATGTTCAAAAGTTATTAATACAAGGTCTTAATCCATTAAGACCCTTCTAGAAAATGCAAAGGATACTTCTAGCCATCGGGACTTCATTTTTATGATTAAGGACCCCTCCAAGGGTTTGAAAGGACAACTCAAAACATCCAACACATGCTATGCTCAAAATGGAGCATTTGGGACGAAAAAAAAGCATAAAAAGAACCCAACAAGAGATCTATCAAATAAAACATAAAGGTATGAACTTTATACCTTTAGATGATGGAGAAGGAAGCCAAACTCTCAGATCTAAACCTTGCTTCAAGCTTCCAAGGTTCTTGATAGACTTCCTTTGCGACTAAATCACCAAGAAAACACTTTAGGGATCTCAATCTCACACAAGGGGCTAGGGTTTTGCAACAATGACTTAAGGACTTAGAGGCTGAAAGGATAAGGGAAAATGGTCCATAAAGATGTTTAAATACCCCCTCAAACCCGAAAATTTAGGGTTTCACCCAGACACTAGTACGCCCAGCGTACATATGTGTATGCCCACCGTACTATGGCGTACCCTCGTATGCTTAGCGTACTCACATATATGCTCAGCATACACCTCCTTCCCTAAAATTTTCCATTTAGCCACTATGGATTCTTAGAGATAATTCCAACCAAATCCAAGGACCAAAACGAAAGACTTAAAATCAAAGGAAGGATTTGAAAATGCATGAAAACCGATATGTTACAACTATTCTCCACTTGAACAAGACTTCGTCCTCAAAGCCTGCTGTAGCAAACAAATCAGGGTAATGATCCCGCATCTCATCCTCCGGCTCCTAGGTCCACTCGAAGCCGTCCGATGCTGCCATCGTACCTTTACCAAAGGTACTTCCTTGTTGTGCAAAACTTTCACCTTTCTTTCCAGAATAGCTACGGGCCTCATAACATAGTTCAAGCACTCATCAAACTCAATATCATCCAAGGAGACTACCACATCCTCATCTAATACACACTTTCGCAATTGCGAAACATGGAAAGTGTTGTGAATCTCGTTGAGCTCCTCAGGAAGATCCAATATGTATGCGACCTTGCCAACCCTAGAAATAACCCTGAATGGCCTAATATATCTGGGACCTAATTTCCCCCTCTTCCTTAATTGAATCAGCCATACCAAGGTGAGACCTTCATTAACACTATGTCACTGACCTGAAACTCCAACTCGGATCGGTGTCGGTCGGAATAGCTCTTCTACTGACTTGAATCATCTTCGTAGTCTGAAGGACCACCTCGGTTCGCACCATAACCCTATGACTAACCGTTCCCTAACACACTGGGGTACGACACCTCCACCCATATAAGAGCTCAAAAGGCGGAGCGCCAATACTGGAGTGAAAACTGTTGTTGTAGGAGAACTCTGGAAGAGGTAGGTAGGACTCCCACCTCCAACCAACATCAATGACACAGGCTCGCAACATATACTCAAGAGTCTGTATCGTCCACTCACTTTGGTTGTTGGTTTGTAAATGATAAGTTGTACTCACGTCGAACCTCGTGCCCAGTTCCTCATGAAACTTCTGCCAGAAATGGGAGGTGAACCGAACATCACGGTCTGAAACAATGGATATCGGAACCCCATGGTGAGCAACGATCTCACGAATATACACATCGGCCAACTTCTCGGCCGAGGAACTCTCCCGAATCGTCAGGAACTGGGCACTCTTGGTGTTGACGAAAACGCGTACTCGCAAGTATACGAGGTCGTGCAAGTAATATAGTCGTAAGACCAGATATCGAACCCACAGGGACTATCCTATTCTAAGGAAGAGTGAACTAGGCAATTGATTGCAAAAGTGATTGGTTTTATTAAACTAAGGAAACAAATAAAATCAAACTAAATTCACCAAGATAAAAATGAAAACTAAAATAATCGAACAAACAAAGAAAACAATTGAACAATTTAACAATTTTGAGAAAAACGGGATTCGGTTGAGTTATACGGGTTCAATGATTCTTCTAATGCAACTAATTTGTCAAACCAATTATATAGAAACGAATAACTTAACACCAACAGAAGTTATCAATTACCTCTCGATCTCATGATTCGATTTAAAAACATTCACTCATATCTCTATGTAGATCATGATTTTAAAAAAGCATTAAGTCCAATGGTTTTGTTAAAAATGCCCTAACACACGTCTATGTTAAGTTTAAGCGAAATAACGAAACCGCACATTTATATTCAAATGATATCACAAATAAAGCTTCTCTCGAAGTCAATATTGCATGTAAATATGAAATTCAAACCAAGCAAGATAACCTTAACTAACGTTGATCAAGTGTTAGCCAAAATCAAAATTACCCGTTAAAATTCATATTTTTTTTAAATAAGCACACATTTGAATATGTCATTGAATTTCAAGAAAATTGGGTTAAACAAAATCAACTACATTAAAATTATCATCTCACCCTAGTCAACCAAACCCCACTAAATTACTACTCCATTAAACAAAAATTGATAATATGAAAATAAAAGCTAAACATGTTTGTTCGCTAATTATCTGATTAAAACAAACGAAAAGAAGTGCCTAATTGCATATGAAAATAAATGAAAAGCATAAAAAAATAAAAACAATAATAATAATCAAGGAAGAAAGCACCAAATCACGTTTTCTTATGAGTGTTATAGCATGGTCTCATCATCTACTGGTTTGACTTTGAATTGGTGCCCCTCATATTTAGCTTTAGAAGCAAGGATGACGAGAGATGATCGCTGCTGCTTTATGTCGTAGGGTTTCTTAGCATAGGTTTTTTTTTTCGTCGTATCCTCCCCTCTTTCTATAGAGCACACGTAAGTAACCATATATATATATATATATATATATATAAGACAAAATTGCAAATTTGGTCCCTGTGGTATGTCCAAACTAGCATGTTTGGTCCAAAATGGGTTTGGCTTGCAAAGATGGTCCAATGGCTTAATAGCCGTTACCAAGCTCCCGTTAATTTACCCATGCCCCTCTCACTTAAGGGTATTTTAGTCCATTCATCTAGCCCCTTTATTATTTTATTATTATTTAGTCCATAAAGAGACTACAACGTCTCTATTCTCGTCTCCAGCAACAAGCCCTAACTATCACTCCCTCTCTGATTTCATCTTCTCCATCGATCACCCCCCTGTGATTTCATCTTCTCCATCGACAATGGTGACGTGCGTCTGCAGAAAGTGGGCAATAGTTCGGACATCGTGGACAGATAACAACCCAGGGCGCCGATTTTGGGGATGTCCTGACCCGGTAAGTGTGTTAAACTTTATTTTGAAGACTACTCCCTGAGGATCTAATGTTTCTTTCTTCTTTTTTTTTCAAGAATTCATCATGTGGGTTTATTGGGTGGTATGATGAACCCATGTGTGCTCGTTCTAAAGTTATAATACCAGGGCTGCTTAAGACAATCAATAAGCTACGAAAAGCAATGGATGATATAAAAGAACAAGCAAGCAAGCATGAAAAAGCAATGGAGAAGATCAAAGAACAAGCAACTATGTTGAAGTATTACCTAGTCTATAGTTGGATTTTTTTTGTTGTTGTGTTGTTGTTCTTGTTGTAAGTCCACAGGTTGATTGTGGTTATCATTTGTAATAGGATAGGGGTATATGTGTCTGGTTTGAGTATTTTTTTGCTAATATGGAACATTGTTGTAATGCAAAGTAATGGTTAATGAAAATTTGGTATCTATTGACCAATTATGGATTTGTTCTATTGTTCATACATAACCTTCTAAAGATAACATATAATGCATCCATATGTAGTTAACACAAAAGCATACTAAAGACATAATACCTATTACCATCTTCAAAATACATGTCATAAGTTAATTGAAAACAAAGTTATTGCAACAAAAGACATCCTGCATCTAGGAATCAAACCAAAGTTGTTCAATACAGTCAAACCAAAAGATAAAACCAACATAGACCATCAAGTCCCTCCCTGACCTTTGCATGTCCTGGAGTTGTGCCCTTTGTTTCCACACTTACTACAAGTCACACTAACAAACTTTCTTGTTAGTTTCCCACTACCATGTGGACCATGACCATGAATCTCACTGGGACCAACATCTGACCTTTGACTCTGACTTTGACTCTTGCTTTGACTTTTCTCCTCCATGGATTGCCTTCTCTTCTCTTGGGTCTCCCAGGTTGATTACGGTGTGGGGGAGGTGTGATCTGCATTGGACACTCACTTCTAGGCCACAGTGCCCAACCTTTAATTGGTTCCACCTTGTACCATATGCAGTTTTCCAAGTTTGTAGCCAGTGCACCTTATGGACATAAGTGTGGAGCTCTTGTACACACTCACCATGATCTGCTTTGTTATACAACACAGAAATCACATGTCTGCAAGGGATACCTGTTAATTCCCATTTCCTGCAGCTGCATACCCTTTCATGCATATCAACAACATGTTGATCATTCCATGGGCCTTTGACTTGGTATTTTTCATCACCACACCATTCTGCAATGTACTGAGTAGCAGCTGCTTCATTCTTCTCCATGATCTTTGTTGCTGTTGGGGTGAGTGGGCCTAAACACTTTTGTTGCACCTTGAGGACATTGCATATCCTCTTCATCATATATTCCCTAATAAACTCCAAGCAGCTAATAATTGGTTTGTCTCTCCCATCAACTAGCTTGCCATTAAACACCTCACAAAGGTTGTTTAACAGCATGTCTGTGGTTGCTCTCCCTGTATAGAAAAGGGTAAAAGTGTCATAATGTTATATGAAGGGTGAAATGGTAAAAGGGTAAAAGGGTCATAATAGCTTACCTGTGAAATGGCTTCTTGCCCAATGTTGTGGTGGTATTGACTTCAACCATTCATATGCTGATTTGTCATATAAACTGAATTGGTGCATGAAATGGTTAAACTCTGGCACTGTTGTAGCTGTGGCACAATCCCAAAGGTGATCTTTATATTCCTTAGTTCTCCATTGTTTCTTCATGTTCTCATGTATATGTCTGAGACAGAACCTATGCTCAGCACATGGGAACAGTTGACTAACTGCTTGTAGCAAACCCTGGCAACAAATTACACATGATTAACAAAATAAACATTAAAAATAATAAATAAACAACCATTACCTTTTGTCTGTCACTAACAAAAGTGAAATTAGACATAGCATGTAGATCCAAGTCATCACCAAGACATTCAAGGAACCACTTCCAAGATTCGCAGTTTTCAATCTCTACGATGGCATATGCAAGTGGGTATATGCCATTGTTGGAATCTAATCCAACTGCAGTTAAGATGTGGCCTGGATAAGGGCCTTTCATATGAGCCCCATCTAGCCCCAAGAAATCTCTTAAACAAACTTTGAATCCCTTCTTCACCCCCTAGACAAACATAAATTCTTTTGAAACATCTTGAAGTGCAATTCACCAAATTAGATTCTGAAACATCTCCAAGTTCTAATTTGACTGTGGTATCAGGATTGGTTGACTGCAACTCAAGGATATAGTCTCTCAGAACTTCATACTGTTTTTTGTAATCACCCACTACAATCTTTTTTGCATCTGCTTTAGCTCTAAAAACTTTATGGATTGAGAAGCCCACTCCATACTTCTTCTGTAATTGTTCTTGGAGAGCTTTAACTGGGATAGTAGGGTTGGATTCTACTTGATCCATGATTTGTTTGGACATAAACTTCGCTGTTGCAGCTCTCACCTTCCTTGTATTCACACAAGTTTGTTTGTCTTCATATGTTTTAATGTACCAGCTGCTTGCATCTGTAGACCGCGAGGCATGTAAAATCCAAGGACAAGAAGAATCTGCTTTTTCCTGACTTGTACCACCTTGTTTCTCCTTTTCTTTACTTTTCCCTTTACTTTTCCCTTTAATTTTCCCTTTACTTTTTTCAGCTTGGGTAGGTCCACCAACTCCATCATTAGTAAATGCCACAACTCCATTACATATGGCCCTCAATCTGGATTTGTCATTTTTTTTAAATGCAATATTCTTTTTTGTTTCCAATGCATGCATTTTGATTTTCTCTTTCAACTCCTGCTTACTGTTATACTTTTGATCTATTTTAAAATGACACTTATGAACCTCACCTAAAGAACAACTTTTTTCCTTACTTAGTTGTTTCAAAACTGCTCTTCTCTTCCTGTCCTGGTCAGAATCCTCATCCATGGAATCAAAAGCATCATTGTCAATGACATCTAACTCATCTGCTTCTTCATCACTCTCATGTTGTCTAGGATTCCTAGCCCTTTTATCTAAGAACTCTACTTTTGTATCAATGCTCATGTTAAAATCCCTCATATCAACTTCAATATCTTCAATTACATTATCTTCATCCACCCAATAATCACTATCATCACTATCATCTTCCTGCTCTGTTTCACTTCTTTCGTTACTTTCAACCTCACTTACATTTTCTTTTCCACTACTATCCATGTTAGACTGAGGTTGGTTTTCACTTCCATCTTGGACAAAAGCATCAGTTTGATAGTCAAAATCCCAAAAGTCATTCATTTGAGGTTGGTTTTCTTCATCCATCTGAGCTTGGTTTTCTTCATCCATTTGAGGTTGGATTTCTTCATCCATCTGAGGTTCATTGACATCATGCATGTCAGTGCCATTGACTCCATCAACATTGCTTTGTAGTATTTGTTGGTAGAGTCCAATATCAAAATCAGTAGCTGCCTCAACAAAGTCTTTGCTCATACCCCTTCTCCTATTATATCCAGGTGATAAGGATACGACTTGAACTATTTCATTAACTTGGATTTCAGGTTGGTTTGCTTGAGTGGGCACCACATCAACTAAATTATCAGTAGGTGTAGTCATCACAGGTGTTTCCTTTGATTGGTCATCAGGAGCTTCATCAATGTGTTGCACATCCTCATGTGGTTCATCTAACTGTACAAGGGTAACCTTGGTAACAGGCTTAGGATTCAAGAAATAGGTGAGTAGTCTTGTTTCACCATGCTCTGTGTATACCTTCATCACTTTGTGCTCACTGACATATTGAGAAAAGTTTGCAACATCTTGATCATTTCCTAAAGGGCGAAGACCAAAGTGGAAGTCTCCACCAGGCACAAGAAAATGGTAGTATATAACAGGAGGAACCCCATATCTAAAACCCTTCATGATTGCATCGAGCTCATGAACTGAAAACTCATCTATGTCTACCATGTCAACATAGTTTACAGTTCCATCAATGTAACGAACATCAGGGTACTTGGTGAACTCACCTCCATGGTACAACTTAATGGTAAACAATGTTGGGTGTCCATCTTCAAAACAAGAAAAAAAAACACCTCAGTTGGACATACTTAAAAAAAAATCAAGAAATCAAAAGATGAAAAAGGGCAAATTACGTACCATAAACAACCTTGGGGTTGAAGGGTGTGTTTAACAACCTTACGTGCCACATTGTTATGTTCATCCACCGATAATCTCTACAAATCGCAGCTTAACTAACAGAACTGATTTTGTGTCTAGGGCTTTTATTGATCTTGGTAAAGAACGACGGTCTACTTTATTGAGGAGGAGACGAACTGCTTTTATTGAGCTTTAGCGGGAACGGTTACAAGGATTAATGGACTAAAATACCCTTAAGTGAGAGGGGCATGGGTAAATTAACGGGAGCTTGGTAACGGCTGTTAAGCCATTGGACTAAACTCGCAACAAATAGAAACTATTGGACCATCTTTGCAAGCCAAACCCATTTTGGACCAAACATGCTAGTTTGGACATACCACAGGGACCAAATTTGCAATTTTGTCTATATATAAAGCATAAGTACATAAACTATCCTTCAAATTTCAAGAATTGTGCAGCATTAGCCCCTAGCTTTTAACTTTCCCCATGGAACAACTTTATCCCTTGATCTTTCACTTTTACCATTGTACAGCTTTAGTCCTCCACATTGCACCTTATTTTTTGAATTGGAACTCTTCCAGCAAACTAACCCCAACTTCCACGTCGATTTTGAACTGGAAAACGACTGAATTAGTGAAAACTCAAAACAAGAAACTTGTAGATAAATGTGTCTAGTTTCCGAAACATCTTGAATTCCCTAAATCGTAGTCCGGATGAACCAGATATGATGAAAACACTGAGACGTGGTCAATCTGCCAAACATCTTTTATTCGCCTTAATTTGCTCCTGATGAATTTATCTTCTTTTGAATCCGTCAATTCCTTTTTGAAACCATTTGGACATTATAATATGAGTCCAACTCCCACCAAGACTTGTTGAATAAGTGGTGGGGGCCTAAGAAGCTTAGGCAATCTTGTATTTACAAGATAAAATTCGTTAATTCCTTTTAGATTTTTGAACTTCATAAGAGGAAGTCAAACTCCCACCATGACCTGTAGACTAGGCGGTGGGGAACCCATGAAACACAGGTTGCACTTGCATTAACAAGTAAAATGAATACCGTCAATTCCGATGCAAAGCACAATGTGCTATATTATGGATTTCGTGCAAGAAAACCATCTCCCACCAACCTGTAGAATAGGAGGAGGGGAACTCAAGAAACTCAAGTTGCACTTGTGATGACAAGTGGTGATGAAAGCCGCCAATTCAAATGAGAGGCACATGGTGCTATATTATGGATTTCGTGCAAGAAAACCATCTCCCACCAACATGTAGAATAGGAGGAGGGGACCTAAGAAATTTAGGTGAACTTGTAAAAACAAGTTAATGAGCTGTCAATTCCTTTAAGAATTTTGGACTTCATAAGAAGAAGCCCAACTCTCATCGTCATATAGAATAAGAGATGAGGAACCCATGCAAGACAGGTCAAAAACCCAACTGAATGGGTAGAAAAACACCAACCGAGAAATATTATGTCGATTACACTCATTAACGTAAATTTATCTTTTTAAGCTCAAAAAATGATGTAAACTGTAAAATCTGGGGACAAAAATAAGTTTTTAGTTCATTTAGATATCGAAAAACGAGCACTAAACACTTGGCCAATCGATCCTCGATGAACCAAATAGTATCAAGACCCTTTGTCATCTTCGACAACTTGGTGATGAAGTCCATCAAAATCTGCTCCCATTTCCACATGGGAACCTCCAGAGGTTGTAGCTTGCCATGCGGCCTCTGATTCTCGGCCTTGACCATCCTGTAGGTCAAGCACCTCTCACCATACCAGGGGATCTACCTCTTCTTGAATGGCCACCAATAGCTCAATCTTAGATACAGATACATCTTGGTAGCCCTTGGATAGATAAATAAAAAAAAAAACAAGACTTATGAGCCTCCCCCAACACAATTTGTCTGACCCCACCAGAGATAGGAACCCATACCGGACCACAACCAGTCAACTAACCACGACTATCCGAAACAAATTTGTTGATCTTGCCCTTGATCCTCTCAATCTTCAAATTCTCTTCCCGAACACCCTCATCCTGAGCCTGCCTAATCAATCCCACAAGTATATAATCCACATATATATCCTCATATGTGACACCCCAATAGAAGATCCAGCTGACTTGCAGCTCAAGGCATCTGCCACCACATTCGCTTTATCCAAAAGGTAAAGGATCTCACAATCATAATCCTTAATTGCATCTAGCCACCTACACTACCTCATGTTCAGGTTCATCTGATCCATAATGTGTCTCAAGCTCTTGTGATTTGTGTAGATAGTACAATAGACCCTATAAAGATAATGCCTACAAATCTTAAGGGCAAAAACCACAACCCCCAACTCAAGATCATGTGTGGGATACCTCGTCTCGTGCAGCTTCAGCTGCTGCGAAGCATTTGCTATCACTTGTCCTCTCTACATGAAGACTACCCTCAAACCAGAGATGGAAGCATAACAGATAACCACAATATCCTCAATTCCACCGGGAAGGGTCAATACCGGGGCCTCACATAATCTCTGCCGTAGGGAATCGAATGATGACTGCTCTTGAGGGACCCACATCTACCCCTTCCTTATCATATGAGTGAGGGGTACCGCAATCTTGTAGAAATCCTGAATAAATCTCCAGTAGTACTCTGCCAACCCCAAAAACTCGTGATATCCGATGGAGATTTTAGAACCTCCCACCGCATCACCGCCTCGATCATGGCCGGATTGACTAATATCCCATCTTGGTTAACGAGGTGTCCAAGGAACTGAACCTCTCATTACCAAAACTTTCACTTCGAGAACTTAGCATAAAGCTGTTCTTGCCTCAAAAACCCCAGAAGCTCACGAAGATGCTCTCCATGCCGCTCTCTGGTCTTGGAATATACCAATATATCATCAATAAACACAATAACCGAATAATCGAGCATAAGGCTGCATACCCGATTCATCAAGTCCATAAATATTGCAGGTGCATTGGTGAGTTCGAATGGCATCACCATGAACTCGTAATGCCTATAACGAGTCTGGAACGTGGTCTTCTATGCGTCCTCCTCTATTCCCCTGATCTGATGATACCTGGACCTTAGATCTATCTTGGAGTACCAAGATGCACCCTGCAACTGATCAAAGATGTCATCAATCTGTGGAAGGGAATAACGGTTCTTCACCGTTAACTTCTTCAACTCTCAGTAATTGATGCACATCCAGAGTGAACCATCCTTTTTCTTGAAAAATAAAATCAACGCTCCCTATGGAGAACTACTTGGTCTTATAAACTGCTTGCCTAGCAGCTCCTGCAACTGAGATGACAACTTCTGCATCTCGGGCAATGCTAAATGGTGTGGCGCATTGCCAAGTAGGGCCGCACCTAGCACGAGGTCAATCTTGAACTCAACCTATCTCTCCGGAGGCACAACGGGTAACTCCTCCGGAAATACATCGGCAAACTCCCTAACCACCAGTACCTTTGAAATTGAAACATGATCCCCAACCCGCATGTCCACCACATAAGCCAAATAATTCGCACACCCATGTTGAATATAATGTCGAGCCCTGGCTGCAGAACAAAACACTAAACCAATCTTGGTGCCATATCCATAGATGAATAGTTCTCCCCTACTTAGGATTCGAACCACCATGCGCTGGCCCTTACAATCGATCATAGCGCCAAACCGACATAGCCAATCCATGCCCACAATCATGCAAAAATACCCTATGGGAATAGGGATCAAATCGATCGGAAAGGATACCCCGAAGATCTCGAGAACACAACCCTGATACACTGAAGAAGCAGAAACCCCATGTTCATTGGAGATAGTTACTTGCAACAGACACACCAACTCCCCTAAGGGCATATCAAACTCCCTACTTAACGTTTGAGATACAAAAGACCGACTCACACTCGAGTCAAACAACACTAGAGCAGGCAAAGAGTTCACTAGGAATGTACCTAAAAAAGTATACAAATAAGCATAAAATAAAACATAATTATCAAGATAAGGATAGAAACATACCAGTCACCATATCTGGTGCTGCTTCGGCCTCCTCGATGGTGAGATGAAAATTGCGCCTCAAGCCCTTGGGGGATCCGCCCTCCCCTGACTTCCATTAATTATCCACAATGTAGCTAGCATCGGGGCCTGTGCTAGCTTGGTGGCGAGCAGGGGAAGGTTAGCCTTCACATGGTCAACCTGATCACAATGATAGAAAATCCTCATACTCTGAATAGGGGCTAACTGGAAGTAATCTCTCGCATAGTGCCCCTCCTTGCCACACTTGTGGGACAAACTACCAAATCGGTACGCTCTATCATGAACCCTACCACACTTCCCATAAGTGCGGCCTTGCTGACCCCCATATCTAGACTTAATAGCCTTGAGCCGCTTTGGCGCCGGCAATGACTATACCAGGTCCGGTCTCTGCTCCCTTAACTGAAGCTCAAGCTCAAGCTCACGCCGCTTGGCGGATTCCTGCAACTCCAAAAAATAATCGCACCGTTGGGTGGAAACAAACTGCTCTGAAGCAAACTCGGGGAAAAACATAGCCCTCTTAGTGAACATACGGGTGATCTCCATCACCAACTCCGATCCCTGCCTCACATCCAAAAACTCCTGGGCCAACCTCTCACGCTCAACCCACGACACATAACAAGTACGAAACATCTCCATGAACTGATCCCAATATATCACAACCCTCTACTAAGACAAGAGTTGCACACCAGGACCAATTCCTTTACCCCAAAACCATTTAACCCATGCACTATGAGACTTAGCGCATTCATCCAATAGCTAGTTCACACACGTAAGCAACACACAACAATCAATAGGGTAGCCTACAAAAGATAAGGCATAAAATACCAGGCAATTCTATCATATGATTCCTAAGGATCCATATCTTGACACTAGCATGATGTTCTAATCATAACATAACATAATCTCAAATAACTTGTGTGGTAATTTGGGATCACTTACTGGATCCGGCTGATCGTACTCCTTGCATCCTCCTCTATCATTTGAAAACCATTTTTAAAAAAATATTTTAAAAATCTTTTTCCTCAGTTTGAGATTGGATTCACACAAGTGTTCCTCCAATTCATTCAAACGAAGGATCTGATACCAACTTGTAACATTCATAACATTTCAAGAACATTTAAACTCTTCCAAACCAACTAAAATGATAATTGTTTGTAACATCCTATTATAGATTAAATAAGTATATAAAGATTTATAAATTTATAATAGTCCTGAATTAAATAATATTGAGCGGGGTGTTGGTGTTGGGGAGCAAATTGATTTAAATTATGGATTACGAGGGTTAAAGTGTAATTTCCAGGCCACCTTATAAATATTTCTAGAAGTGGGGGATGGTTGGTAATTGTTAGGACTTGTATTGTAAGGAATTATTAAAGGTGGGGGGCTGATTGGTAAATATGGTACTTATATTGAGAAGTTTTGGTGGAGTACGGATCAAATATGTAAAGAATGGATGGATGTTTGATTAAACACGGGTATAGACCCGGTGCTCATTTCCTTCCCGTTTCAAGTGATGTACACTGGGAAACCCTAACCCAAGAGTATCTTCTCTTCAGCCGCCAATGCGAGACTCCACTATCACCGATGATTCGCCAAGTCCGACCGCCACCTTTAATAGCTTGCTATCTCACCATCGCTCGCCGCCACCACGACCCCTGCTGTCGGAGATGCGATTGGGCAGTGAATGAACCACCGAGACCAAAGTGTTGAGCCTTGTTCAGTTGTTGTGTTGGGTGCGTGCGAATGGATGCTATCGGTAAGTCAACACGCCACCATCTCTTCCCTATTTCGTTATTGCTGAGCTCGCAATACTGTTAGGGTCGTCGGGGGTCTTGGGCCACCGCTCTTGTGCTTCCAGTTGTCACCAGCCGCCTACGGTGGCTGAGTTCAGTGTACTTCGGTGTTCATCTAGTGTTTACGAGCATGTATGTGTGTTTGCTAGGCTGGGGACCAAGACAATCCACCACCACCACTGTGAAGTGGTGGCTGCCAACCACTATTATTTTCTGCCACCCTCCGCCACCACCAGCTGCCATGGGTGGTGGTTGTGGGCGTGGTTATGGATGTATGCTTTAGTATTTTCATTGTTTCTGGTATTTTGGAGATTGTATGTGTATTTTTGTGGCCGGAAAACCCACAACCACCAGCGTGAGGTGGTGGCCGCCGCTAGGAGCCGCCACTGACCACCACTACCTAA